CCCCGCCCAACCCACTATTGATCAGCATCAGCTTATCAGAGAAAACATTAGGCTTTTGGTTTTGGGGTATTGGCTTATTTCACTTAGCATGATATTCTCTACTTCCATCCATTTACATGCAAATGACATAATTTCATTCTTCTTTAAGGGTGAGTAATATTCCATTGTGTATCTGTACCACATTTTCTTTCTCTGTTCATTTGTTGAAGAGCTTCTAGGTTGGTTCAATATTTTAGCTATTATGAATTAAGCTGCTATAAACATTAATGTGGCTGTTTCACTGCAATATGCTAATTTTAAGTCCTTTGGGTATAAACTGAGACATGTGATAGCTGGGTCAAATGGTGGATCCATTCCAAGTTTTCTGAGGTATCTCCTTACTGCTTCCTAGAGTGGTTGCACCAATTTGCAGTCCCACCAGCAATGTATGAGTGGACCTTTTTCCCCATGTCCTCGCCAACACTTATTATGGCTTGTATTCTTGATAATTGCCATTCTGACTGGAGTGAGATAAAATCTTAGTTTGGTTTGCATTTCTCTAATTGCTAGAGATAATGAACACTTTTTTGATATATATGTTGATAGATTTTTTTTGAGGCTATTTTGAATGCAGTGGTTTTCCTAATTTCTCTTGCAGTGGATTCAATGCTTATGAATGGAAATGCATTTGATTTAAGGGTATTGATTTTATATCCTGATATTTTGCTGAATTCACTTATTCAAGAAGTTTTCTGTTGGAATTTTTTTGATCTTCTATATATAGAAGCATGTCATCAGCAAATAGTGATAGTTTGARTTCTTTTCCAATGCATAGCCCTTGAATTTCTTTTGTCTGTCTGATCTAAATAGTTTCAAGAACTATGTTGAGTAGAAGTGGTGAAAGAGGGCACCCCTGTCTTGTTCCAGTTTTTAGTTTTCTCCACTTAGAATGATGTTGGCCTTAGGCTTAGCATAGATAGCTTTTACAGTGTTGAGGTGTAGGCCTACTATCCCTAATTTTTCTAGTGTTTTGAACATGAAGAGGTGCTAAATTTTGTCAAATCTTTCTCAGCATCTCTTGAGATAATAATGTGATTCTTGTCTTTAAGTCTATTAATGTGATGTATTACGCTTATTGATTTCTGTATGTTGAACCAACTTTGCAACCCTGCCTACCATTTAAAATTTTTTTCTTACCATTGCATCCTTACAACATCATATGGTGCTATGCCTCATATGCCAAATAAATAGGCCCAAACAAGATACCCAGTTCTATTAAGACCATTAGTATGTCTGCGTTTCAATTCTCTCAAGACGGTTAATAGCACTTTCAATTTTTAATTTCAAAGTAGTGCCATCTACACGGTATCCAACATAGAATCTTTAGGGGAGAAAGAAAATCTGGTGAATCTTTTGGTAAATGAAGATGATCACATGTGATAGATCAGTAAACAACTTGAATCTTTCTCAGTTMTTGAATTCTGTGAAGTCTAAAGGCTGACAACATTTTCATACCATTAGCTTCCCATCAGAGTTCTTTTTTCAGTCACTTTGAAAATAATGGAATGAATCTAGGGATTCGTGATCCAATTGGAAGATAATTTCCCACATGTTGGAAAGGTGGTTCCCAATGTTTTCTTGGATTCAAGATATTTAGATCTGCTGCTTCTCTGCCAGCCTCTAGGATCAGCCTCAAGACACACTTCTGGTCTTCCACAGTCCACACTGCTCACAGCCACCCTCGTTTCAGATTCTAGCAACCAAGAGTGTCTAAACATACTCCATTTTTTAAAAGCTAAATAATTAAGATAGCAAACTCATGAAGAGCAGCTGATAGAAAGGGCATGCTAAGCCTTCCTAAAACATATGGCCTTTACTTGTTTGTGTTCATTTGAAGGACTAGTTGAATTTGAAACACTCTGAAGTTAATTGACAGGTAAGCGAATGCTTTCAACTTATAACAGGAGGACTAATTAACCTAGAGAATAGTTCTCTCAAATATATTAGAAACTTACAAGAAGCCTAATTTACATTCTACTAGCTTAATACTAGTATTTTGTAGTTATTTAGGATTCTTAGTATGTAAATTTTATACTTGGAGAAAACATTGTATTTTCTTTCACCTTAATGGGTCTGAAATTTTGTGATTCGATTGAAAGGTTTATGCATAYAGGAATAATATTAAAATTTATTTACATTTGAAAGCTGGAGATTTATTTCTGTTTTTAAAGGAACTTTGATAGAATTGTCAACTGCGGAACAAAGATTTTTAAGTTTATTTCTCTGAGGATAAAGATATAGGCTCAAATACTGTGACCTATTTTTCATTCTTTAAATACTTAATCTCTTTTAAAAAAATCTATGTGTTATACATACAAAAAAAGTAATGTAGTATACAATTTGAAGAACAATAAAATGAAAACACCTAATAATCACTCAGTCATATTTTCCATACCTCCTGTATTACTTCTGGTATTTCTCAGTATGCTCAAGAAATAACAACTGYTCTGCATTTTATTAATTATTCTCTTTTCTTTATAATTTTATCACATGTACATGCATCTTTAATATTATGCAAGTTGTTTAGCTTGCTGATTTTAAAGTTTTGTAGGGAAGGAGTTGCTCTGTGTATGTTCTGTAAGCTGGGTTRTTGTTGCTGTCTTCAGTAATATGTTGAAATTCGGTCCTTTGTTTGAATAGTTGTTGTCCATTAATCATTAAATGCCAACAGTATTTTGAATGTATCCTATCCTAGTTTATGTATCCATTATCCTTTTGATGGACACAGGGTGGTATTTAGTTTTTTACATTTCAAACAATGATACTGTGATTATTCTTGTTTGCATCTCTTGAAATATGTTTATAAAAGTTCATATAGTAGACTTTTAAACTTTTTTTTTTGGTGTTTGCGTGATTACCAAAGTTTTCTTTAAAAAGTATTTTTTAATTAGTTGGGCCAATTTCGACTAGAGATGTTGTGTGATGATTATCCCTAAGTTAAAACTTACTTAGATGAGAAAATATGCTTGATTGGTTTGTGTCTACTTTTGTTCCTAATGGTATCCAAATGAAAAATTTATCTATTGAGCCGTTTGTATTTACCGTATCTATTATATAATTAGTATTTGGATAGAATGCTACAACTTATAAGCACTTTATATATTCTATTCCTTTTGAGTTTCCCAAACACCTGAAAATGTAGATATGATTATTATACTTTTTTTAGATGCATAAAGCAGTGATCCTTGAGGTTAACAGACTTTTCCAGGTTTGAAACTCTATTACTTCTCTGAATATACTATGTACCATTAATATTTTATAAGTKCCTTTGGGTATAAGTGGAGCAGACCAATATTTCATCATTCCTTCAAAAATACTGATTAAAATGTAAATTTATTCCACAGTTCCATCTCTCTTATGCAGAAAAAGACTTGTTGGAGAGAGAGCCAAGAGGAGAAGCCCATCAGGAAGTTCTTAGGCGAGCAGCCAAAGATCTTCCCATCTACACTAGGACTATGTCTGGAGGTCAGTGTGGATAATGAGTGTCTTGGAACAGTATCCAAATGATGCACTGTGGTGACTGTTATGAAGAATGTATGTACTTGAAACTGTCAAACATTCAAGATAATTATTTCTTGGATTGCTGTAAAAGGTTTCTGTATAATTCAGTAAAACAGAATGGAAACATGAAATCGGTGGTGCAGAGATCTCAACTAAATCAGAATTGACTCTAATTCTGTTTATGTTTACTTAGTTGTGACTCAGTGAAGGTGTAAGAGCTGCTAAAATCTTTTAGGAGTATTCCTAAAAGAAGAATTTTTTAAAGTTTTAATTATGGACTTTCCTAGTGGTACTTAAGGGAGCAGTATCTAAGTTGAATATAAAATTAATAACTTCACATGCACTTTTTATAAATTTAAAGCTGATTATATAAATTATGTAAGACATAATTTAGATATTGGTACAGTTTCTTTATTCATCCTTAATATTTAAACAAATTTTTTTTTTTTACAAATACAACTAAATACATCTTTTCTTTGGATCAGATTTTAAAGGTTATTTCACATCTAATTAAACAATTGTATTCAAAATTGACACATATGAACTATTGATACTTGCCCACCAAGATTACCCAGAAATTTGTTTATAACGTTAGAYCTGTGCTTCCCATTATAACAATCGCTAGCCCATTTGGCTACTGAGTAATCCAGATATGGCTAGTCCAAGTTGAAACACTTTAAATAAACATAAAATACATAATGGGTTTTAAAGATGTAGTATAGAAAAAAGAATGTGAAGTATCTCGTTAATATTCTTACATTATTTATATTTGTTTCTAACCTACTTCAGAATCATAAATGAATAATTGAAGTCTTACACACAATTTTTRTCCTGTTTGTTTTCTTCTTCAAGTGTATCCTGTAAGATGCTTCTGTACTGAGATGGCATCTCCACGTCAATTATCCATAATTGTCTTTGATATCTGTATCATAGAAGAAAAGATGAGGGCTTCAGTTACAAGAACTAGAATTCTCTATTGGAAGTACTTCTTCCAGTACTCACTTCTTCTTTTTTATTTTTATATAAAACCCTTTTTTTTTTAAGTGGTAGAGAACACAGTACCTTTATTTTATTTATTTTTATGTGGTGCTGAGGATTGAACCCAGTGCCTCACACATGCCAGGTGAGCACTCTACCACTGAGCCACAAACCCAGCCCATCCAGTAGTCACTTCTAATCTTGTATACTGCCCAACAGAGACATGAGGTCTTTCCCAATTAAGCAACTAATAGAGTTTATCAATTTCTCAAACATGTTTCTGCGTTTGTATCTTCTCACCCTGTTATGCACAGGAAGTAAATTCATTTAATTGAGAAGACTATCTACCTTAATAGAAATGGACACATCTGTGCCCTTTGTGAGCCTTCCTGTGACTACTGACAATGTAAAACACCTCAGAAAAGTTTTCCAAAAAGATCCTTTCTTCTTGGTAAACCTCTCCAGAGAACTCTGACTATAGGCTCAACTACTCATTTTTTGTGTACTTATACAGAGTTGAATATCTTCTTTTTACCAAATTTAAATTCAGTATGCTTTTTAAAATTTAAATTTGGAGAGATGATAAAAGCCATTTAATTGTACATTCAATTCTGTGTTAAATCTTAAGACTAAGTGGAGCTTTTTGTTCCTAGCAATCCGATATTGTGACAGATGCCAACTTATAAAACCAGATCGTTGCCATCACTGTTCCGTCTGTGATAAGTAAGGAAACCTTTTTTTTTGCTTCTAAAATATCTGACCTTTTCATGTAGTATTTATTCTGTTTTCCAGGTTATCACATTTTTTTTCCTTATTTATGCTTCTCAGATCATTATTAGGAAATATAATTGGTATAATCATTTGCATTAATACTCATGTAGCTTAGGGCCACAGTCACTTGTCCCMTTCCCTCAACCCTGTTCATGATGWCTTAAGGTGCTTGATTTCTAGCAGTTCTGACTTGACTAATTCAATTTAGTAAGTACTTCTGTGAGCATTTTCTCTCTTTATTAAAATAACTCACTTGACTTTATAACAGACAAATGTTATATATTTACTGTACTACACAAACAGTATGATTTGACTTAATGATTAATATTAATTATTTAGATTTAATATTAATTATTTAATATTAATTAATGATTTAATATTAATATTAAAGAGAAGATTTTACCTAGACTTTCCATAAGTCTGTTGACGTTTTGAACTTTTTTTAAGGATGAGGTAGTTGTATGTTATATATCATATTGTTTTTATAAAATGATTTGATTTACATCTTAAAGCACATATTTTAAATTCAAGTACTATTATTAAGTAAGGAATGTTGGTATGCCTTTAGTCTCAACTACGTAGGAGGCTGAGGCAGGAGGAACTCAAGTTCATAACTCAGGTGGTCAGCCTAGGGAGGCCTCATCTCAAAAATAAATAATAATTTTAAAAAGATTATAGTTCTGTTATTATATTGCAACTAAAATCAGCTCTAGTATTTATTTTTGATAAGGACTTTTGCTATTACTTTTTATATAAWTAATTTTGCAGTATTTTACTTGCCATAAATGAAATGATGCTTTAAATTTTCCTTTTATGACAATGTGATTTAAAAACTTGTGGGGTGTGGGCTTTTGTGTTTTGTTTTTTTAGGTGTATTTTGAAGATGGATCATCATTGTCCATGGTGAGTAGGCTCTGTACTTAAGTAGGCTTAGGTCTCTTATACATTTTTATAAATTGAATTATTTCTCTATTTAAACATTTTTACAAATGAAATTTGTATGCACATACATAAACACAGAAATTCTAAAATATTTTCCAGAAGTGTATACAAAGATTTGCCCATTAATTATACATAATACTGTTAATAATACCTCATGCAGATRTCTAATGAAGAATTAAATCCCTAAAGCTTTATCCATTATTTTAAATAAAACTTGGTATTGAGGAATAGGATGGCAAATACAGAAAAGCACAGAGCTSTTTAAATAAGATATTCCACTTGGAATTTACTAATGTTTTCTAATATTTCTAAGTTATAAAGTTAGGTTACTTATTAGAGATCTATTTGAAAGATCTGATGAAGGTTGATTTTCTATAACTTTTCTATATTTTCCTATAAGTTTCACCTCAGTGCGCACAGACCTCTGACAAYCGGGCCAAGGTTGCCAGCCAGGTTGGATTTGGACCTTAGTCATACTTATTCCACAGACTTTCTTCTTTCAGGGGTGATGCCACAAGAAATATATACATCCCCACAAGTCTACAGGAGACTTGTTTTAAATAAAARAGAATGTTTCTCTTCGCAGCAGGAAATAGAGAATGTAGGGTTCATAGTTGTGTAGATTTCTCACTAGCATATCTCTTCCTTTCCTTCACTTAGATATCCTTCTTTCAAATGTTAAGACTAGTCAATTCCTATAAGAATAGCTGTCTTCTTAAAGAAAAATTTCTGTAAATAACCCCATTTGTACTAATTTGCATCTGCATTCTTTTTTTTTCCTCCCCATTCTTTTTTTTTCTCTAAGCAAATGTTCCCCCATCCAATAGTTTCAATTACAAATTCTCTTAATCCTCCCTTTATTCCTCTTTGCCCTCACCATAGCAGAAGTTGTCAATGYCCCATTCACATCCCCAGGACCCACTGTGAGTTCATCACACCTGCAGACAGCCCCCCACCTCAGGCACCTGTGTTTCTTTGCTTCTCCATCGGAGGGCTCTCTTCTACCTGGATAGGTTTGCTCTGCTCACAGGCTAGGCAGTCCAGAAGTGCCAGGGAATTAATAGCCCCAGGGCCACCCTCAACCAATGAGGCCTGTCCAGTAATACTGTTTAGTGGGCCGTTCTCCCTCCCCTCTAGCCCCCACTTTTTTTTCTTGGGCTGGGGTTCCATCCCAGGGCCCTGCACATACTAGGCAGGTGCTCTACCACYAAACGATATCCCAAATCCTCTCCCTTCTTTGTCTCAAACTATATCAAAGGTGTTAACTTAGGGCCTACTTTTAGGGAAACCATACTCAGCACTCTCCATTTTGAATTGCTGTGGATTCTCAATATATTTAGCAGTGGTAAAATAATTGGGTCATAAAATTGATTTTAATTTTTCCAATTTAATAGAAGATTAAGATGATAATGAACAGAGAGGTGAAGATAATCAGGATTCATTCCAGACCAGTACCAACCTATAAAGTTTGCTATGTCCTTGCYATACACTCAAAATTATAAAAATAGAAAATAACGATTTGCCATTATGTCAATCTTTCTAAACCTGCAATTAATTTGACTGAATAAGAAACTTATAGGATAATTGGACAATCTTTCAAATTTTGACAGATCCTATTAAATAAGTGAAGGGAAACAGGCAAAAGACTCCGGAGTTTTTAAAAATAGTCTCACATTTCATATCTGCATACTGTCTTACATTCCTCCTTTAATGGCAATGTGGAAGAAGTTYAATGACCTGACTGCCTCCTGCACTATTTCTTCCCATCTGCAGCCCCTACCTCCCCCCCACCGTCTCAGCTCTGGCATTCCCTTGAAGAAAACAATAGCCATGCCGACTGTGAAGGGTTTGATGCCAAGGGCCTGATATTCATTGGATGGCAGCTGAATGGAGCAGTCAACTTTTTTAAAGAATTGAAATTAAAAATTTAAATTAAAAAATTTGTAGGGCTGGTTGTGTAGCTCCGGGGTAAAGCACATATTTAGCATATACAAGGCTCTAGGTTGAATCCCCACCACCTAAAACACACAAACACACACACACACACACACACACACACACACACTTACTCATTTTTACGGTTCTAAATTAAAAAATAAAAGCAGTGAACATGTTCTTCTATCCCCTCTTTCCCCTATTCACAGAGAACCACAGGTCTGTATGTAGGCAGGGGCTTTCCTCCCTCATTTTTTTTTAAAAAAATATTTTTATTAGTTGTTGGCGGACCTTTATTTTGTTTATATGTGGTGCTGAGAATCGAACCCAGGGCCTCACACATGCCAGGCAAGTGCTCTGCCATTGAGCCACAACCCCAGCCCCTCCCTCCCTCATTTTTAAAAACACAACTGACTGTATTGTAGACTAAATTTGGTTTATTTTCTTTCAGTTAAAATATCCTGAAAATGTTTTTAAAAAGCCATTATATGATTACATTAGGATATTCCCAGACTSTGGGAAGACCATTTTTAGAGAGGTCTTGTATGTGGATTTGAACTTTAGTACCTATGAACTTTGAGCATTTGAAATATTAACCAGTGGCTCTCAGTTTTTCAATGATTTCAGCATATCAGCTCTGGCCAGTTAAAGTTATCCATCAGGATTCAGGGAATCAATCTCACGCTCATTATTTTAACTAAAAATAAGTTTCTCTAGTATTAGCTTTACGAGCTTTCTATTAGAGAAATTTTTTCTTTTAGTGTAAAATTTAATTATATTCATAATACTTTCACATACTTGCCCCAAATTAGGTAATATAAATAAAAGTAAATAATTTTAGCTTTAATTTATTGAGCACCTACTGTATTCTAGAGACCATATGTATAATCTGTCATCCTTACAACAACAAACAGAAGTACGATTTGTCCCGTTTTAAAGGGAAAGAAAGTAAGACTCAGGAAACTTGAAACATGGGCTCAAAGTCACTTGAAAGGCCGCATTCTTCCTAATAAATTGTGTTCTGTTTTCTGTTCTCAGAAAAACAATTGCCCTGAACAGAGCCAACAGCTGTGCTTATAGCCTAAGAGGGATATTTACCCAGAACATGTTGTTTCTTCATGTGAAGTCATTCCTTTTCCAGATGGAGGAAGCTCAGACTTGGACTGGGTTCTCTTCCTTTCMCATCTGAATCTACATACCAGTAGGCAGTTAAAATGTCTAGCCCCAAACTGTCTGTCACAAGAGGAAGGTATTATTCAAAAATAAACATGATTACTCTGTTTCTTCTAGTAACATACACATAAAACTCCCTAGAAACATTTCAGACTCTAAAATGCTTGGTCTTTCTTTACGGAGCTTCTGCCATGTTTCCTACCTCTGTCTGACATGCAAATTACTCTTAATAGAAGTTAAAGGAAGCCAAATTGGGTATTATAAAATCTGTGATCARAATCATTTTATTTCTATAAATACAAATGCTCTTCATCATTTACTCAAAAACTGCTTCTTACATTCTTATAGGAAGGGAAGCAATCTGTCCCTTCCTTCTAATTCCCCCCAGGCCACAAAAGTCATAGGTGACACTCACATTGTCCAGAGTCTTCACCTTCACCTACCCTTTTTTTTTTTTCCTCTGGAAACCAGCACAAGTAAGCAAGTGCAATATCCTGTATCCTTTCGAAACAAATYACAGTTAGGCTGTACAGAATATTACCAGTGTTACTTCTTGCCATTTTTTCATTCTGATGCCTTGAAAAGCCATCTCAGCAATTTGGATTCCCACTGGAATCTCTAGAGCTGCAAATATAACTGCATACAATGTGCATCCAGAGTTTTGGACATCCTTATGAATTCCTTCCCCATATAGAACTATAGATYATATACAATGCAAATTAATAAATTTAATGCTGCTTCCTTTACCTTATATATTTCTTTAATTCTCTCTCTGTTTTTTTAGTTGTAGACGGACACAGTATCTTTATTTTATTTATTTTTATGTGGTGCTAAGGATCGAACCCAGTGCCTCAGACGTGCAAGGCAAGCGCTCTACCACTGAGCTACAACCTCAGCCCTACCTTATATTTTTGAGGTAGAAAATATAACCATTTTTCATGTGAACATAGTTTCATTTTTAAAATCTGGAACAAGAAAGTTTTTAAGGGCTGGGGATGTGGCTCAAGCGGTAGCGCGCTCGCCTGGCACGCGTGAGGCCCGGGTTCGATCCTCAGCACCACATACAAACAAAGATGTTGTGTCCGCCAATAACTAAAAAATAAAAAATAAATATATTTAAAAAAAAAGAAAGTTTTTAATTTATTACTAAAGTCAATAGAAAGATTATTTTGCTAACACTTGAGTGAGAACAAGGACATTTGAGGAGAGGAAACAATATGTATATGCTCTATGAAATAGGTTCAGTATGTCARATAACACTGAGCTAACTCAGAAAGCAATGATTTCAGCCAATTTAACAGATCTATTCTATCACATCTACTTGAGGTTATCCCATAATGCTGTGATCTCTATGCAAAGGAAAAAAATCTTTTTTTTTAAATTAAATTATTTATTTATTCTAATTTCTTATGCAGGATGGCAGAATGCAATTCATTTTATGTTACACATATAGAGCACAATTTTTCAAGTCACTTGTTGTACACAAAGTTTTTTCATGCCATTTGTGTCTTCACAAATGAACTCAGGGTAATGATGTCTAACTCATTCCATTGTCTTTCCTACCCCCATGCCCCCTCCCTTCCCCTCCCTCCCCTTTGTCCTATCTAAAGTTCCTCAATTCCTCCCATCCCCCAACCCCCCCCCCAATATTGGGCCTTTGTTTTTTGGGGATTGGCTTACTTCACTTAGCATTCTCTAACTCTATCCATTTACCTGCAAATACCATGATTTTATTCTCTTTTAATGCTGAGTAGTGTTCCATTGTGTAGATACACCAAACTTTCCCTATCCATTCATCTACTGAAGGGCATCTGGGTTGGTTCCACAATTTAKGTATTGTGAATTGTGCTGCTATAAACATTGATGTGACTGTGTCCCTGTAATAGGCTGTTTTATGTCTTTGGGGTATAAACCATGGAGTGGCATAGCTGGGTCAAGTGGTGGTTCCATTCAAAGTTTTCCAAGGAGTCTCCATACTGCTTTCCAGATTGTCTGYACCAATTTGCAGTCCCGCCAGCAATGTATAAATGTATCTTTTCCCCCACATTCCCGCCAACAYTTGTTGTTTGTATTCTTGATAGCTGCCATTTTGACTGGAATGAGATGAAATCTTAGAGTAGTTTTGATTTGCATTTCTCTAGTTGCTATTAGATGTTGAACATTTTTCATATATTTGTTGATTGATTGTATATCCTCTTCTGAGAAGTGTCTGTTCAGTTCCTTGGTGCATTTATTGATTGGATTATTTGGGGTTTTTTTTTTGGTGTTAAGGTTTTTGAGTGCTTTATATATCCTAAAGTTTAGTGCTGTATCTGATGTGCTTGTTGTGAAGATTTACTCCCATTCTGTAGGCTCTCTCTTCACCTCACTGATTGTGTCTTTTGCYGAGAAGAGACTTTTTAGTTTGAATCCATCCCATTTATTGATTCTTGGTTTTAATTCTTGCGCTATAGGAGTCTTTTTAAGGAATTTGGGGCCTAATCCAACATAATGGAGATTTGGACCTACTTTTTCTTCTATTAGTTATAATTTGGTTAGTTTTCTTTTATTATTGCTTTTTAATATTTCTCTTGTTTAATTCCTAGGTCCTTTAAGAGAAAGAGTAAATATAAAATGAGCTGTATTTATGTTTTTATGTATTAATAATGTTTGGAATTCCACCCTCCCCCAAGCACCACATAATGATTTTAGAATAATAAGAACTGAGAATTTGTTATTGTCCATATCATATAATATAAAGCTGGATGTCAAAAATGATCTTAGTGCTTTTTTATTTTTTACAGGTAAGAAAAATGAAATTCTAATTTACTATTTCACTTTCTCGGGCCATGTAATTATCTAGTGTCAAATGTCATTACTATTTTGGCCCCCAATCGTATTTCTTTTCTTAAATCTCCCATTTAAGAATATGCTTTGACAGTCTGGTTGGTTCAATCAATGATGGCATGCAAGGAGAAGTATGTGAAGTTAGTTTATCTAGCCTAGGAAAATTTAAAAGATTTTAACTTRATCATAATTTGTTATCAAACCCAAAGATAACTGTCAATTTCTCTAATCTGCCTGACGTYACTAGTTGTCTTACAGCTCTGTGCTTTTAAGCATGTGCTTATTCATATGTTTGGACATGAAATGTAGTTACATTGATCACAACTTATTAAAGCTGTATTAAATATTGCATATTGAAAATCTAAGCACAGAAACTCCTTTTTTCTTAAAATTGATTTTTAATGTTTCCATGTATAAAGAAATTTTATGACTTACACTTAAAGAAATGCTAACAAATTTTAAATGAGAGAAAACCAAACACTGTTAAATTTGAGCATATTATAACTGGGTTGAAGATGTAATACTCACTGTGACTGTTTTTGTTTTTTTTTTGGCAGGGTGAACAATTGTGTTGGATTTTCAAATTATAAATTCTTCCTCCTTTTCTTGGCTTATTCTCTGCTGTACTGCCTTTTTATTGCTGCTACAGATTTACAGTATTTTATCAAATTTTGGACAGTAAGTTGTTACTTTAGTGACTTTTCTTCAGTTTATAAAAATATGTAATGTAAATTTTCAGCAGTGAATTATTTCAGACAATGACTTTACAAAATAGAGTTAATTCACATAGTCAGTCCTCTTTATTCACAGATCCTGTATTTTTTAATTCAACTTCTCAAAATTTGTCTGTAATATCAAAACCAGTACTCACAAAGCTTTCAGAATCATCTGCAGATGGGTGCAGAATGGCAGAGTTTTGGAGTGTTCCACGCGCATGCGCCCAGTTGAGGTGAAACAAGGCAGAGCTCTGCCTTCTTGCTTCATTAGCTCTCATAGTGTGAACAAACGTGCTCTTCACAGTCTGGTGCCGTGTCTTGTATTTCTGTGCTTTTTGTTGATTTTGCTATTTAAAATGGTCTTCAAGCATAACGCTGAAGTGCTGTCTAACATTTCTAATCAAGACTGACATTTTATATGAAGGAAACACCTTAATAAGCCTCATTCATTAGCCTAAGTTATAGTGCCRTTGGCCACAGGTTCCATGTTAATGATAACGGACCTTTAAGCAAAAACCCACAGAAAACGAAGTTGTGAATTGGTCAGTTGATGAAGATGTTATGCCAGGAGTCTTGCAGGAACCTAACTCTGCATTCTCCCTGGGAGGAGTGGTTCAGGATTCACAAAGTCAGTGTTCATGGTAACCTTATAGAACATAGCTACTGCAAATAATGATAATGGACTATATAAATAGCTATTTTTCTGTATTTAAATATAGATGTGTTTTCATATAGAAGATTTTTTTAAAAATTGTTATGTCTATAATGTTTTCAATTTTTAGTGGGTATTGTTTAATTAGGCTTTAAGTACTCTTTTTTTCTGTATTATATATTTTCCCAAATCTTAAGTCTTTATTAAATTCATGGAAAGACTAATGTATTCTGATATAAAATATGACATGTTTAAATAATCACTTCTTAATTTATTTTAATGTATATATTTTTATGTTACTGTTCTCAGGCAAAATTAAGAGTTTATTAAATATCTGAAGATATTCCTTGTGAGTGGCAAATAATCTTAAAAAGCAATTTATTCCTTGTCAGAATGGCTTTAGTATTTTCATTAAATTATCCTTTATTATGGTGAGAATTTCTGAATCATTGGATCCATTTTTGAGGTTTAAACCAAATTTACTACCAAAGAGTTGTTGAATACCTACTATGTGCTAGTTAACATTGCTAAGTACTAGCTTCACACAGRTGAAGGGATCTGCTTGTAGCAGTTTCCAGCTTGAGGAATGATCCCTAACAAATGCCTGGGAGGATATTAATTCACTGCTCCTCATTCTTGTGAGTGGTTTTCATTCCAAAACACAAATATATTTGAAAAAGAAGGACCAGAGTTTTCAATGGGAAGACCCCACTGTTGAAAACTACCAATGAGGTCTTATGACCAGTGTCAATCTGACAGTTACTGTAGAGAATCCAACAATTTTATCTGATGGGTCCTCCATGCCAGCTGGGGTGCCTCACTAATTACCCATATCCCCACGCCCTCCATTCTAGAGCCARTCCAAGTCTCCTTTGACATACCAACAGTGACGATCAAGCTAGTTTGCTTTGAGGTGGCCGATTTCAGCCAATGGACATTATAAAATTTATTTTAGATAGGTGTAATTCACTAATGTTGATCTTTTCTGTGATGTTATTATTTAAAATAGCTTGGAGCATTATTGTGGATGTGTTGTTATATGTATTCTTTTAGTCAATGCTGTTGTTTGCAGTAATAGAAAACATCAATGAGAATGGTAACTAAATTGTGCCAGTTAACCTTAATAATAAAGCTATTTAAACATTTGTGAATCTGTAGTATGTAAACAAAACATGTCAGATTTAAAATATTTTACAGTTCCTTCTATCTCATGTCCTACTGTTATAGTTTATACTATGCTGTCATAATTTTTCTGATTTGACTATGCAAAATAAATACCCCCAATTTTAATCTTTTTCCAGACACATATTCCCGCAAACATTTAATTTAATATGACAAAATATATATTTCTTTTTTCTCCTAAAGTTTTAACACCATGTATCTTTCTCCATATCTAAATCTATTTAAAAAATTATTAAAAATTTATAAAAAATTTATTTATAAAAAATTTTAAGCAAAAAGAAACTTACTTATAAAAATAAAAGGATAATTTCCCCTTTGACGAAACATGTTATTTTCTTCCTTTCTTTATAGAATGGCCTACCTGATACTCAAGCCAAGTTCCATATTATGTTTTTATTCTTTGCTGCAGCTATGTTTTCTGTCAGCTTGTCTTCTCTGTTTGGCTATCATTGTTGGCTAGTCAGCAAAAATAAATCTACATTAGGTGAGTATTAAATTATTGTAGTTGACAGAACTTTTAAGTACATACGTAGATACTCATTGAAAGTTGCCATATGATTAAACATCCACCTATCCTGAAGTGGTAAAAATCATTCTTATTTCTCACATTTTTGTGTGAGTGGATAGTCACTTCGACATATATAAGTTCATTCATTTCATGCATTTATTGGTCATCCATGCTGGGCAAAGCATTGTGACCAAGAGCACTGTGAATAGGGATAGTTGTACTTTTTTCCTTTGGTTGCCTTTATTTCTTTTCCTTGACTAATTGCTGTAGTTAGAACTTACTGTATAATGCTGAATAGAAGTAGTAAAGGAGACAGTCTATTGAGGGGTCCCTAAATTAATAATGAAACATAAAAGTAATTACAAAATGCAAAATAATTTTAATGAAGCAAAGAGAATGCTCAAGTGTGAATAAAGGACTGGGGATGATGGAGGAAACTTATTTAGAATGAGCTGGCAGGAAAGCACTTACTACAACAAAAAGTACTTAACCTAAGCAGTCAGCCATGAAAAGAGCCAGAGCACGTCAGACAGAGAAAACAGTATGTTCAAAAGCCCTATAAATATGGGATGCAGCTAAAGCAGTTCTTAGAGGGAAATGAATAGCTGTAAATGTCATTCTAACAAGGAAGAAATATTTCAATCAATAACTTTCTACCTTAAAAATGAAAAAAAGAAGAGCAAATTAAACCCAAAGCTAGCTGAAGGAAGGAAGTAATAAAGATAGGAGATAATGGAAATAAATAATAAAAAAATTACAGAAAACCAATGAAACCAAAAAAATTGACAACATTTATCTAACAAGRAAAAAAGTGAAGACTCATCACAAAAATCAGAARTGAAAATGGGGACATTGCTACTGACTTTTTAGAAATGAAAGGATTATAAAAGATTATTATGAACTATTGTACATTAGAAAACCTAGMTGAAATGGACAAATTTCTAGGAACAAACAAGCCATCAAACTGATTCAAGAAGAAACAAAAAACTAAGACAAACCTATAACAAGTAAAGAGATTGAATCAGTAATCAAATGGTTCACAACAAAAAAAAGCCTGGGACAGTTTGGCTTCACTGTACATTAACAGAGAAAAGAGAAAAACATGTAACACAATTTAACACTCTTTCATGATTAAGAGGAAGCACACTTAAAAAATTAAGAGTGTGAAGGAACCTCCTCAACCTGATAAAGTGCATTTATGAGAAATCCACAGCTAACCTCAGACTCAGAGGTGAAAAACTGAAAACTTTCCTTTTAACATCAGGAACAAAACATGGATATGTCCTTTATTACTGCTATTCAACATACAGCAAGATCTAACCAGTTAGAATTAGTCAAGGAAAAGAAATAAAGGCAACCAAAGGAAAGAAGTACAACTATCCCTATTCACAGATAACATGATCTTATATAAAAATATCTAAAGAATTCACAAAAAAACAGTGTTAACAATGTCTGGATAGTCAAATAAAATCAATAAGTGCCAAATCAGTTATGTTTCTCTGTACACAAAAAAATGAAACATCCAAAAATGAAACTAAGAATATTATTCCACTTTTCAAAAGTTTTTAAAAGAATAAAATACTTAGGAATAAATTTAACCAAGGAGGTTCTAGAGTAGCACACTGAAAATACAAAGCATGATTGAAAGAAGTTAAAGGAGACTTATAAATAAATGGTAAGATTCCCCATGTTCATGGACTGGAAGATTTAACATTGTTAAGATGGCAGTACTACCCAAAGTGATTTATACATTCAGTATAATTCCATTTTTGCATAAATGCAAAAGCTGATCCTCAAATTTATATAAAATTATAAGAGGACTCAAAYAGCCAAAATATCTCACCAGAAAAAGAACAAAGTTGGAAGATTCACATTCCTGATTTCAAAACTATAATGATCAAAACAGTGTGCTACTGACATGACGAGATACATACCTCTATATTTGTGCATCTCCTCATTTGGTTGTGTATTCTTCATTATATTACGTTATTACACACATGCATGTATGCGTGTACACACACACACACACACACACACACACACACACACACACATATATTTCCAGGAATAAATCCATACATCTTTAGTCAATCAATTTTTAACTAGGTTGTCAGGACTATAGATGGAGAAAGACTAATAGCTTTGTCATGTTGCTGGGAAAACTTGAATTCATAGGGCAGAAAATGAAATTAGACCCTTACCCCATAGCATATACAAAAAATTAAAATTGAAGGGGCTAGAATCTCAGCTCAGTGGTAGAGCACTTGCCTGGCATGTGTGAGGCCCTGGATTTGATCCTCAGCACTGTATATAAATAAAGATCTATTGACAACTAGAAAATATTTTAAAAAATTAAAATCAACCAACGATCTAAACAGAAGTGCTAAAACTATAAAACTTAGAAAATGCATCTTCAGGAACTTGAAAATGGCAATGTAGTCTTAGAATACCAAAATCATGAGCAACAACAGAAAAAAAAACTCCTTATTTTTTTCTGTTGTTGCATGTTCACTTTTGTGTACCACAGGATATTATTGAGAAAATAAAAAAACAACAGAATAAGAATAATATTTGCAAAAAATGTATCTGACTAASGACCTCATATGCAGAATATATTAAGAATTCTTACAAACCAACAACAAAAAGACTCAAAAAATTGGCAAAGGATTTGAATAGACATTTAGGTAGACATTTATTTAGAGGAAATATTCAAATAATCAACAAGTACTTTAAAACATGCTCAACATCATTACTCAAACCAAAACCATAGTGATGTATCACATCACACCATTAGGGTGGCTGTAATACAAAACTAGAAACAAGTGTTTGTCAGGATTTAGGGAATTTAGAATCCTTTTATAATTATGCTGGGAATATAAAATGGTGTAGCAACTATTAAAAACATGTTGGTATATTCCTCATATGGTAGAATTAGCGTAAGAGCCTGCAGTGCYACTCCTAGGGATATACTCCAAAAATTGAAAACAAGAATCTAAATGGATGCTTATATACCAGTGACCCTAAAGAACTATTTACAGTAGTCAGAAGCAACCCAAATGCCCATTAAATAATGGAGAAAATATGGGCATATCTATACAAAGGAATATTCCTCAGCTATAAAAAGGAATGAAGTACTGACACTTGCTACAACACACATGAACCTTGAAAACATGCTAAGTGAAAGAAAATAATCACAAAAGATTATGGCTTATATGATCCCATTCATATGAATGTCCAGAATAGGAAAATCCATAGAGCAAAATCGTGTTAGTTGTTGCTTGGGGATAAGGACAGAAGGGACTGGAGAGTAACTGCTTAAGGGTATAATAGTAAAACTATTGTGGAACTTGATAAAGGTAATTATTGCACAGAATTTATATTGAGTGCCATTTGGTTGTTCACTTCAAAAAAGATTTTATGTTTTGTGAATTTCACCTCAGTTTTTTTAAAAAAAGAAAATACAAGAAAAGAGCTAGGAATACTTGAGAAACCATCTATGGGGTTGGAGCATAAGAAGCTAAAGAATGAGAAGTGAAAAGTAAGCAGAGACTTAGCTACATAGTTTCTAGGCTAAGATTAGGAGCTTGGGAATGCAACTAGAATTTAAAAATTCCTTTGATCAGAAAGGAGCCTTTAAGCTATGAGATCCCATGATTATTCAGTGAAGATTAATTATAGTAGATAGTTCTTGTTCATTTTTAACATTCAGGCAAAATCCTATTACAGCACATATTATTAGAAAAAAATTTGCTTTAATAAAGTAGTTTCTAAGCAAGGTGTCTTGTTTTCCAATTTCAGTTTGGACATTTAAATTCTAATGCATTGAAAGTAAATGAATTGTTTCCAGAAGCTTTTAGCTTCTAGATTTGAGATTTAACTTGTAGCACTGAAAGGACTTCCTCTGGGTAATATGGCCCTAGTTTTCAAATAACTCTTTAACCTGGAGTGGCAAATGCAAAGGATGTTGCATTTATTATAATGCAAGTGGACACAACTTGTGGTRTGTCTAAATCACCACATTTTTCATAGAACCCAACTTCTAGTTAATTTTTTTTTAAATTTTGGGAAAAAATCATTATACTTAAATGTTAGTTCATATTCCAAAAATAAAATTTTAGAATTTGCCTTTCAGTGTTATTCAAGAAGAAAATGTAGTATTCTGGAAGGAAARTTGATGACCTTGTTCAAATCCTACATATGTAATTTATTTCTTCTGTGATCTTGGGCAACTCCCAGAACCTTACTCAGCCTCAACTTTGATAGGCAAGTGGGCACAACCAGATGCAATGTATGGTTATGGATTGTATCCTGATTTGGACAAACACTATACAGTGTATTTTTGGGTCATCTGGAAAATTTTTATGATTAAGTGAGAGAAAAGTGAGAGAAAATTTCAATAATATTGAAACTAGAATTTGTTAACTTCAAAACAGTTATACAATATATGTAAAGTATACTCTCATTTTGGTTAAAAAAAAACTCTGTATATTTGAATATATATCTATTGCCCTTCCATGTATCCATTCAATTATCTATCAAAAGATCCAGAAGAAACAAAGTTTTAACCTATTTGCTTACTTGTATTTTTAAATGTTTTTACAATGCACATGTACAGCCATAGTAGTAAAAGGATTAGTTGAGAATTAAAATAGGCGTGATATTTTGAAAAGATTAGACAATCTGTATGTCAGGGCTACTAGTAGRTACATATTTACTCACAGGGTGGACATTGATTTCCAGAGTTTCTTCATTTAATTTAATTATTTCTAAATATTAGGAACCTCTTGTTGATTTGTTCTTTATTCATGCAGTTGCTTTACCATCTCTTCTAGAGGCATTCAGAAGTCCAGTGTTTCGACATGGAACAGATAAGAATGGCTTCAGCTTGGGTTTCAGTAAAAACATGCGACAAGTTTTTGGTGATGAGAAGAAATATTGGTTGCTACCCATTTTCTCAAGGTACTTTTGCTGTTAACTTTTTCATGTTTTAAACTAATGGAAGCAAGTCAACAAAGGACAATTTCAGAAAAAGTTTCTGTTCCATAGGTCTATAATTCTGTGTAGTGACTTCTATTTTTAAGTAATATTTTATGATTCACTATTACATCAATGTGAACATGAACTAACTCATCCTCTCTCTAAATATAAACAGTGTATTGAAGCCAGTGCTGATCCACATATTTTGCATATTACTTGCTCTGCTTTCAGTCATTGGCATTGTAACAGGGTTTTACTCCATTGTCTTTTTCCTGATTCAACTGTAAGTTTTTATTTTAATTATAGTCTAGGTGATGGCTGCTCTTTTCCAACTTGCCTTGTTAACCAGGATCCTGAACAACCATCCACTCCTGCAGGACTGAATTCCACAGCTAAAAAGTAATCCCACACTTTTTTCTGCTTTATTTTCCAATGAGTTTTATTCTTGAGTCCTTTGGTTACAGGAGTAAACATAAGAGAGTTTACTGCAATGGTTTCCACTTRGAATGAGGGAGAGAGGAGAGTATGATTGGGGAGGCAAACCTGGGCTGCTTAGATTGTGTTTATGAGGTTTTGCTAATAGTCTAAGGGATAAGTACACAGGTTCTCTGTACATTTCAGTTGACTGAAATATATTATGATTTTTTTTTAAATGTAGCACTTAAAAATTATAGGACAAAATTAGCTCCTCGTTTTTCTAGTGAGCATGCAAAGGATAAAATTCCCCTCTGACCCTCCATGTCTTTCCTCTCTGGTAATTTTTATGAAGATCAGAGAAAATTCTCTGTATCAAGTCTTTGGAGTTCAGATGGATCCCAAGGCACCTGTTTGATAATTCTATTAGTAATATGTCCTATAACTTTTTTGCTGTTTAAAGACCTCAAAGTATTATCAGAACCTTTTTATTTTTTATTTTGTTTAGAGAGAAGTGAAGGGGTCTGGGAAATTTGTTGTCTGGAGACTTTTGCTCCAGCTTTAAGTTTGTTTTGATTCAGTCTTTCAAGAATTTTAAGATGGCAACAGAACTGAAGTTTAATTCTGACTTTGCTACTGTCAAAAGGCGATAGTAGTTAAAATTTTTAAAATGCTGATGTAAGTTTTCATTGGTTTGAAACACTAATTTTTAGACCTTTATGAAATATTTATTTGAGTATCAACATACCTGTAATGTTTAAAGGAAAATCAACAACAAAAGCATAACCATGATATCATTCTTTATTAAATTTTGGAGACTTTCTTGGTTGCTACATGTCACATATACAGGACTTACATCAGTGCTCCTTAATTTGGGGAGTGAAAAAAGCTTGAAAGAATAGTGCTCCTTAACTATTATTTTTTTTTTGTGAAAATGTTTTATTGATCACAGTAYTTTTTCCTGTGGAGCTTGGAGTGAGCTCAGAATCCTTCTCAAGGCAGGGTTTCTGGCAACAATTCCMAAATCACTTTAAGTTGTCAAAAGAGAGAAAACCATTTGCAGCTCCATCTTTAGAGTAAGTTATGGACAGCTAGGTTCCATCAGTTAGTGACAAGGCCATTCTGATGTAGTTCATGTGGATATTCAAAGACATCAGAGCCTCACGGGTCATGTTTTATGAGTTTGGGCTTGGAAATTACACAGCTAAATGTTAGTGGATTTTGTTATACATCAGCGCAGAGAAATCTAGTTTTAATAAATTATTTAGGATAAGCCTTCAAGCTTTTATAAAATTTAACAGTAGTTTGCAGTAGTCATTTTTACCCTTGTTAAATGGCTTTTGTAGTTTAAAAATTAATGGGTATTGTTCGGTTTGGGGAAGTTTTTAGTTCTGATAATGTTACCCAGCTAAGTGATCTTGACAAATTACCCTTATTAACAGATCTTCCCCTACTTGTCTGAATGGTGTGAGTCTTCCCTTTGTTTACTTTCTGCTCAGGTATAACTTTACACTAGAGGCCATCTTAGTGTCACCAGGCTATTATATGTTTAATTTATTATTTTTCCTTAATTATCACACAGTTCCATAAGTGCAAAGAATGTGTTCGTTGATATATCAGGTCTCAAAAAATATTATTGAATGATTAGATTGTGTCCACTTTGTAGCGTTCTGTTAGCCTTAAGGAGTCTCTAAACCAGTCCCTAGTTAGCATTCTCTGTTTTATTGCCTCTTTCTTGAAGAATATTAAGAGTTAAAGTAAAAAAGATTTTTGTTTATGAGTAGGTATAAATCTCTGCAGAAACATGCTCATTTTAAAAATYTACCTCCAAAATTTTAATAAGGAGCTATTAAAGCTGCAAAAAATATTAAAATGTTATAAAATATTAGATATGAGGTAATCATTAAGGAGCAAAAGCTTAACCTCATATCCTTAAAAACATAATAATTATATTCAGCTAAAATATGTGCAGTTAGTTTTTGGAAGAATTGTAAGTAGATTTTTAAATTATAATTTCTATTTCAGGATATTCTAAAATTTTGCTAATACCTTCTATGCCCAGAATTTTTCTCTAAGTGGACTATTATTTTTTGTATGTTTTCCACATCATCCAACATGTTGACATATGGCAGGTCCACCTAAACTTTAAAACTTAAGTTTCAGAGGAAATTCTTTCAAGCCTTTTCACTCCCCAAATTAAGTTCTCGTGAAGTCAAATGTTTTCAACATTCCTACAAGATAGCACTCTCATTTGTTCATAGGGAGGAGGAGAATTCTTTGTTCAAGATCATTTAGGTCACTTTAGAAACACTACCATGGTTTTTCTCAAACTTATCTTCCTACTGTCACCTTCATATTTTTTCCATATCTATATATCCCAAAATTAATATTTTTGTGTAATATATCTCTTTAAGAAGTATACTTAAACTTATTTTTCAAGCAAACTTCATATCACAGTCATAAATAAAAAAGCTATTATAATTTGCCATAAACAGAATAAAATCAAGTATAAAAATGATCTTATTAAGTTTGAATTAGATTCCCTTATCTGCTAAAATCTGAGGTTAAGGATTATTCTCTATATTAATAATGTAAATTTTCCAAGGTTAGAGATTATCATGTTATTTATGATGAGAAGGAAGAAAGGAGACTGAAGACAACATTTTTCTCCTTGTGAGTCAGTGTCTTTTAATGTCTTATCCTTGTCGTCCCCAAATATCTTGGATACCTCCTAAAATCGTCTTGTATTACAAGTGGTTTGAGTTTTTCATATTTTGAGAAATACTCAACAATWCTACCAAGAATTCACCTGTGATGTTCATTATTATTTATCAGTCCTGAAAACCATCAATTTCCTGCAAAGCCATTGAGAGAGTCCCAGAGCCACCTTCTTACTGATTCTCAGTCTTGGACAGAGAGCRGCACAAACCCAGGAAAAGGCAAAGCTGGTAAGGGTGTGCTTATTTGGCTATTTTTAAATATGCTTTAGTTTTAAAAAGGGGCAGTGGTGAAAAATCTCACTGTTTTTCTACAGAACTTTATTAATTTTTATACATGTATTTATAAATATATATAAATATGTCTTTATAAATGTAAGTCTATATATAAGTATACACACACACACACACACACACACAACCTTTGGAGTCAGATGTCCATTGTAAATTTAGAATAATTTTGAAAGAACTCTTTGTGAGTTGTTTTAACATCTGTTAATAGAAAACCATTTTATAGAAGATTATTTTTTTTCCAGTTTAAAAAACCAAATCTTTATCACTGCCTGTTTTTTTTTTTTAAGTAATGATAGAAATAAATTCCAAATACAAAGGATTACAATGAAAAAAATGTAGTCAACTCAGGCGGTTATAAAATATATCTTCTGAAAAGTACTTTAAATTAATTATGTAGCTCTGTTTTTGACTCTTAAGATTTCTATTCAGCTTTAAAATATCTATGTAAAATGATTGCATAATTTCCATAACTTAAACTGCCTGTAATTTCTTCATATCTCACACACAGTTCTTTTGTTATTATTGATTTTAATCTTTTGATTACTTAGTTTATTAGCAAAGAACAATCAAGGCTTTGAAGTCAGACTTGTTTACAAGACCCAGTTTGGACACCTGTTAGTGTGTGGTATTTGTTACGATCTAACTTCCTTTGGGCTTAGCTTCCTTATCCTTCAAATACTCTGTTTCTTGGGGTTAGTCAATATTAAGTGAGGTGATTGTAGTGCAGGTGTGTGGGTGTCCCCAGAATGACTACAAAACCAGACACCCACAAGTAAGGCCCTGTTAGCCAGGAAATTTCCAGATTGACTCATTTTAGCAGTTTTTCAGACATTTTCTTTGTTTCTAGTTCTTTTTTTTTTTCAAATTCACGTGCTTCCTGACTTGGTTCATTGTACTTTAAAGTGTTTACTGATTTACTTGAAATCTCTTTGGGATTTAGTGATAGTGGGAAGTAGAGTCCAGAGTAAAAATTCTCATCATTATTTAATATATAAGAAGTCAATTCTCTTAAGATCAAAGTTTTTTTTTTTAAAGATCATATTTTGAAGGCCATTTGTGTCCTCTGAAGATCCTCGTGATCTGAGTGTTCATAATTTAGTCCCTCCCTTAACCCACCATTTCGCTTTCTAGTCTATAGGAAGGAGGCATTGCATTGACAAAAATTGATGGCACCTGTTTGCCATTTGAGTTTATCACCTTCCTTAGAGGCAAAGAAGTGATGAAAAGTTGGGGGTCAATTGTTTGGAAGAKCGACAAAGAACTCCCTTTCTTCCAGAAGGGATAGACACTCTATCTGATAGTCTACATCGACTTGGAGATGATTGCTTGATTTTATATGCTATTAATTATTTGGCATTTACATTAATTTTCTGTTAAATTGATGAATGAATTGAGGAAACTAGTATAGAGGAAAATGTAAAGGAAGGAAGAATAAAAAGAGAAGGAGAAGATGAGAAAGGACTTAAAGATTGGTTTGAAGAAGGAGGTAATTAGGTGAGGAAACTTGATCTGAGCGATTTAATATCTTTCACCATTTTGTTCTTTTTCTTCCTCATGTAAAAATGCAAAATATCGAACACATATTTACATTTTTACATTTCTAGCTCTATTTTTAGTGGCTTTGATGTCTGTGTGTGTGAGGTGGGGAGAAAAATCCTGGCTCTAACATTGGACAGGGTGTGAGTGCATATGTTTGTTCTTCTAGARGTCATCTCCCCAGCCTCCTTACTATATTCAGGGCACCTTTGCAAGTATTCTTGAGAATTATTCTTAGGTGAATAAACATTTCTCTGTTTGTTCAAAAACAACCAAAAATGTTAGTTTATTTTCTTTCTTTAAGGTATGAGCAATCCTGCATTAACCATGGAGAATGAGACTTAACTCTTCAAGCGAAGTAAATTCACACTTTATACAAATAAAGTAAGTTTCCCCTTTATTTTTATGTTTTATATTTTTAACAGTTTTTTAATTGATTAGAGTTATTAATTCCCATAAATATTGTTTATTTTTGCACGTAAGATGTCTTATGTGACCTGTGGAATTTCATTAATTATCCTGGGCCTCTGGACATGAATTTCACTTCAGGTTAATTTGATAAAGTATAGAAATAAGTTAATGAAAAAGTTATTTATATATGAATGCATTAAATGGCAGAGATCAACTCTTTACATTTACTTAAACATTGCTTGTCATTTCATAGGATCATAGAATTTATCATCTTTATTTTTTTCTAACATTCAGGATACACAATTATCATATCTTTGACCATCCTTTAGCAGAATCTCACTGGGTCCAAGTATAAGATGATTTTGTTTTATTAGCACAAACACCTGTCATCCCCATTTTTAGTCACAGTAGGACCTCATAGCATGTAAATAATAGGTGCTCCAAATCATTTTCTTTAAACTGTAAGTTTTTTTTAAACTTGTTCCAAGTCACTTTCCTTGAAATCTAATATGTTAATAAACTTCCAGTAAGTAAGAAGGGAAAATGAAGAGAACCTTTGGAATAAAGCCATTAACATCTAAACAAACATAACAAATATAGTTTTGTAATAAGCACTATATAAGGAATCAAAATTTAAAGTTGAGATGATTCTCAACATAGTAGGTTCTCAATCTACTCAAAACCGCAATCTAGATTCCTAAAGTTTAAGAGAAGCAACCAATTAGCACCTAAAACAAAATTGTTTGTGTCAAAGTCTTTCCTGAATATCTGATTTTAGCTGTTTGCTTTGTTTTGGTTGTTTTAGCTGTTTGCTTTCTTTTGGTTGTCATGTAATTGACAGAAGGATGCGAATCTGGTAATTCACAATTTTAGTGTTTTAATTTGGGGAMGACCAGGATCAGGTCTGAATGCATAATGGTACAGTTGATAAGACTGATCCTAATTGTGGTTAGGATAGTGAAAATTTTATCTTTTGAATTTGGTTACATAGCAAAGAAACATTATTAAATTCTGGAAATAATATTTAAAATGCAAAAATGAATAAACAAATATGAACTACTAGTCAATACCACAAATAAAATATTTTATAGAAACATATTCTGTAGAACAAAATTTTACAGGATTTTCCCCACTGTGTTTCATTATTAGTTATAATAATTTGTTATAATGATTCATTTTTTTTGAGGTCAGTGACATTACAAATTTTTTTGTGTTCAATGTTTTGCATTTTTACATAATATGATTGTGTATAAGTCATTTAGCCTTCCCAGTATTTCAACACAGACTAGTGTTGGATTTGTTCATTGCTATACCTAACACCTTGCACAGTGCCAGAAACATAGTAGGTTCTCAATAAATATTTGGTTGATAAGAAATCAAACAACATTGAAATTAAAAATCTCATAGAAKCTTGATTTTATTACATAGGAAAATATGGCATTAGTAGTTATAATAACCAAATGGCAGCATAAATGAACTGCCTAACCCCCAAAACATTACCAAGAGGTTTTATAATATAATGTTGTTCATTTGGTTGATATAACCATTGGCAGTAAAAAATTTTTAAATTGAATTGTTCTAAGATAGCTAATAAATACTAGACTTTTAAAAATAGTTTTTCTTGCATTATATCTTAGACTTGTAATTCATTTAATATTCAATTTAATATTGAATGTTGTCATCTAATATTGATTAATATTGATGTGCCTAATATATCTTACAAAATGAATTTTTTTTGTTCTTTATTTCTTTGAACTACACTAGTATGTGGTCTGTGGCTTTTTTTTTTTTTTTTTTTAAAGCTGCAGAGATGGGGATTGAACCTGGGGCTTTGTGCAGCCACAGGTGGGCAAGCATTCTAGTACTCTATCCCTGATCTGATCTACATTCCCAGCTCAATTTAAGGCTGTTTAATAAAAGATTGCTTAGTGCTAAAACCCATAGTAGTGCTAAAAATAGATTTATTTTCGCTTACCCAATACAATATAAATTTAAACGTGCTGTGTTTTTATGTGTATGAAGTTTCAAATTTATTTCCTTAAATGTCCTTTCCAATTCATTTGTCGCTCCCAAACTCCAGTTGACCTCAGACAAATGCAAAACTGTCAACATGGAACTCTCTACTCAAATTGTGGCCCCAAATGAGCATCAGTGGCATCATCTGGAACTTTTTAGAAAAGCAGAACCTTAGGCCTTACCTTAGACCTACTGAATCAGGATCTGAATTATTTAATTTAATTAATTAATTTTTTTATTTTAGATCTATATCTTCTACCAAATTTGGAATTTTCTTTCTTTCTTTTTTAAATATTTCATTGATTTTATTTTTTAAATACACGACAGACAGCACAGCACTGAAATGCATTACAATTCTTATTACACATATAGAGCACAATTTTTCGTATCTCTGTATATAAAGTATGTTTATGCCAATTTATGCCTTTATACATGTACTTTTTTTGTTGTTTTATTTTGTTTTGTTTGCATTATAACTCTTAATACACATATATACCACAATTTTTTCTACCTCTGTTTGTATATAAAATATGTTGACACMCAATTCAAGTCTTCATACATGTACTTTGTATAAGGATCTGAATTATTTTAAACTTTACTAAGGTCTTCTCATGTATATGCACATTAAAATTTGAGAAGCATGGATCTAGTCTGTATTCAAAAACATGTCTACCAAGCCTGCTAGCATAGAAGAACAAGGAATGGATGTTATTGCAACAAATAATGAGGTGGTTAGTTTGGATTTCATTTTTTGTACTTAACACAATAGTTTCATGTTTTCTGTTTCATTTCAAGGTACCAATGCTGCAGAAGGATGGCAGAGGCTTCCCACAGAAGCCATTGAACAGCAGCTTCTTTATTCATTTGGCTGGATATGTAGAAAATTTGTTTGCTTGCTTGTTTCATGGTGCTGGGGATTGAACCCAGGGCCTTGCACATGCCAGTCAAGTGCTCTACCACTGGGCTACGTCTCCAGCCCTGGATATGCAGAATATTAATTGACTAGTTCTTTCCAAGCTGTTGCTTAAGCCGAACACGTTTTTGATCCACTATACAAATGTTACAGCTAACGTGAATTCCTCTTAAGTGTTAAAAGTAATTGTGTTTTTTGAATCAAAGGGAAAATATCTTCTATTAAAAACTGGGAATGAATTAATGGGTCACTTTTCACTCAAATACTTGGTTTGCACAGTTTTTCATGTAAAAAACATTAATAATCTGGTTTTCTTATTCAGAAAATTAAGACTAATATCTTTTAAGATTTAAAATTTTAAATCACATTATAATGTTAAGCTTTATTCATATTAGTTTCCTTTAAGAAGGAGAAGGTAAGAAATAAGACTTCTTTGGTTTTCTCTTCTAATGTGAATCTGACCTCAGACTGAGTGAACTGTAGTAACTGTGAGTCCACTACAGAGTGCTAGTGGCCTACAGTTAAGGATCACCACCCATTTCTGCCAGACTTTAAATCTCATTTTACCCTTTGTTCCTTGCTGGAAAGTAAGAACATTGAACCTTGGGTCCACTGATAAAGCAACTAGTTAGAAAACTAATACAATGTTCTGACAAAAGTCCCTCTATTACATTGAAAATACATTTTCATCTCTTCTAATCTTTTTTTACAAAATATTATTTTAGTTGGACACAGTACCTTTATTTTTATGTGGTGCTGAGGATCAAACCCAGTGCCCCGTGCATGCTAGGCAAGTACTCTACAGCTGAGCCACAACCCTCGCCCCCTCTTCTAATCTTAAATGTGGGGAAATCTATGATAACAATTATGAAGATTGGTTTATGACATTCTTTATTCAGGTTTGCTTTTGTAATTTTTTTTTTTTTTTTTTTGGTACCAGGATTTAACCCAGGGGTGCTTAACCATTGAGCCGTATCCCCAGACCTTTTTTTTATTTTATATTTTGAGATAGGGTCTTTCTGAGTCACTTAGGGCCTTGCTAAATTACTGAGGCTAGATTTGAACTTTCARTCCTCCTGCCTCAGCCTCCTGAATTGCTGGGATTACAGGTATGCATCACTGCACCTGGCATAAAGTATCTTTTTAGGTTATTTCTCTTATTGAACACAGTGAAAATATTGAATTTTTGTTAAGAATTCCTGGTAGATCAATAGGTTAATCCTCCAGTGATAGCCATATTATTACTGTGTCTTCTCATCAAACCTGTAACAGTTAATCTGTATTTTTCCTCAGATACTTATTWAAATTAATTTATGCAAATCATTAAATTCATATACTTTAAGAAATTTAATTCAATATGAACTAAATGGTGTACAATTTATAAATTTAGTTTAAGATGAACTAAATGATGCATTTGTTGATGCCAAAAGATTTGGCTTGAGTAAATATACTCAGAAGCTCTTGTGCCTTGTATGCACTATTTAAAAACAGGAAAACGTTCTCATTTTAAAAAAATATCCAATAGAGTGTAAGTTTTGTAAATGTTAACAATTAGAATAATGTATACTTTTATTTGGTACTGATTTTGAGACTATAAAACAGATTACCTTTTAAACACAGCTAAGTAATTGGTGTAAACAAAAATTCAATACAAAATAAACTAGAAGACCAGAAGATTAATGAAGTAAAAGATATTGCAATTACTCATCCTTGTTAAAAAAGTAAAGAGTTTTTACATTAACTGTGTTTATGGAAGAACCAAGGTCAGCCAAGTTGATTTGATAGTTCCTTGGAGTACAGGATGGCAGCTTTTACATATTTTTTTTGAGCAAATGAATTTGATATGACAGTCTGCTTCCAGATAGCTCAAAAGATATGATACATTTTTACTTTTGTCTTCAAGCATGTTTGGTCATTTGTCACTACCTAAAGTGCCAGAATGGAAGCTATAGCTCCTGCTAGAAGTCTTAAGGGTAATAGCTGCATGTGGTGTGTTAAAAATTATAAGCAGCCAGCTATTCTTCAAAGCACAATTATGGCTGTTTTTCTGGACAGGATCCAGTTAAGAATTCCTCTTGTCAAACTGGATGCTAAGGAAAAAAAGAGGGATTTTTWAAATTATTATTAACTTTTTACTCTGCAAAAATATTGTTAATCCTCCTCCCTTTAGGTCTTTTGTGTACTTATTTAAATATGTAAGTCAATACACATTAGAATCAGATTTGAAAAAGTTAAAAAAATAAAAATGTTTTTCATTAAGTTGTAATGGTTCCCTTTCTGTTTTCAAATTTAAATAAGCCATCTTTGTTTTAATTGTAGGAGATGATAATTTGTGGAAGTAATTGAAGTATAATTTTACCTGAGTGAATAAATCACCAAATAAATATATCTATCTTTTGTACATATTTATAAAATTCACCTTTGAAACATTTTAAGCATTTTATTCTTTAAAAATGTAATGGCTTAACTCAGACTTGAAGACACACTTAAAAATACACCTTTAAACTCATAATTTTGATTATTTTCCTGTTTTTTAGAGATTTTACCATAAAGGTGCCAAAATTTTAAGAAAAAATTTCATTTAAAAATAGTGAACTAAATAGCCTGACTATGATGTCTCAACTGCCTAGATTTATAGCAACCTAGACTTAGGTATTATTGTTCATTATTTATGAACAGAGCATTTATTTAAAAAAAATAGTGAACTAATGTTTGGTTTATGTAAATATTTGCTATTATGTAGCGGAAGGAGATTTTTTTTTTCCAAAGGCAAATGAAAGAACAGTTGGATCTGAATTCAGTGATGAGGCATTGAAGGAAGTACTTATTCAGGGACTCACTCCTGATATACCCTAATAAAGTGGCTGTTCTTCATTAACTGTCCATGTGAAATTGCTTCTACACCAACAGTACAAATCCTTTAAGGATATACTTTTCCTAATAGCCTATCTGAGCTGTACTGGCAAAATCGATATCTACATCATAATCATAACATGAGTCTTTGAGAGAGAGAGGTGATGAAAAGATAATGTATTACTTCTTRGTAGTTAACTAGACAGTTAAAAATGGACTATATAGATCAAATTACTGAAATCCATAGATATCTTTTGGAAATATGGCATATGTTTGATGGAAACTATCTTCACTAAGGATGCCAAATGCAAAGGATTATAAAACATTTAAAAGCAATTAGATTAATAATGTGATTCATGCATTAAGAAAACATTGAAAATATCATTGCTCCATGATATTACAAATAGTAAATTTTCTTCATTTTGAAATATACGTAAACTTGTCAGTCTCATTCTGAAGTCATGTTGTATAATTTGGCATACACTTACCAGTCAGATATTTACTTGTGAAAGTGGTGATTTTGACACCTCTGAGTATTTTTTTAAAAAGCTATGAACGTATATGTATGTATATGTTAAAGCAACTTGCACTGTAAACCATGATCAAGGTTTCTCCCAGTACAGCTATCCCACCCACCAAGACTTTCTGACCTGCCATTATTTTGTCTTAAGTGACACATTTCAGCAGTAGATTTTTACAATTGTCTCTAGGTAAGATCCTGCTGTARAAATTTGCTCTTCCTAAATGGAAAACTGCCTGGCTCAATCCTGAATATTTTAGCAGCCTAGACTCCTTTTCTATAAACAGCCAATTCAGCACTTATTTCCTCTTCTGTATGAAAGAGAACTTAGTTATGCATCTTAAGTATTTGTTATTCTTTTACAAAAATACCACTAGAATATTTTAACCTTGTCGATAAAAATTCAGATTCTGTTTTWATTGAAATCTTAGCAATTTGATCATGTAACATGTAATGTCATTTAAAGTATTAAATACATGAACAACATTTAGAGAAATCCTGAAATTGAGCACTCTGTTCCCCACTAGGTTCCCTTTACAAGTTATTACCTAAGGGTCTTATTATGTTTCAGAACTCCAGAAATTGTATTATATTGTGCAAAGGATGCATTTTCCATTTCTCTTTCCCATGATGTATTTGTTTTGGAGTAGCATTATAGCTTGTGAACAATGAACATYACCAAAGTGATGGGTTCATGTATTCAAAAGAACTTCTGTGGATCCAACTATGAACAAGAAGTAGTTCCTAGCACAATGTTTAGTGTTGCAGAAGGCTTTGGACTATGATACTCAAGTTTTTCCTTTCTCAGTGTCCCCTTGAAATGTGATTTCAGAATGCTCTACCATAGATAGATGACTACTAGCTCAATCTCTTACACCCTCTAATTAGTCTTATACCAGCAAAAAGTTCAGATATGAGGCATATTTATTTAAATCATTTCCTGTCCTTTCTCATGCAGGAAAGTGAAAGCAAAACAAAAACTGGCAATCGTTGTTCACAAATCCCTGTTCTTAAACATAGCCAGCATTCATTATTTCTGTATTGTAAGATGAACAAAAGATATTAAGATTGATTTCGTTTATTTCTAATAATAGTACTAGTTAAACCAAAAGGAAACTTGTAATAATTGACTTAAAGCCCTGGTTTATACTACATTAAGGAGTTCCCATTGCTCAGAAATGTCAGTACTGTTTTATATTGTGAAAACTATTATATTGCATTATAAACATTTAACAGTATTATAAGGAACTTCATCCTGACCTGAATACTATTATTAATAGTTTGACAGATAAAGGTGATTATTCAAATTGAGAGAAAAAAATCCTTTAGAGTAGGATTATATCGATGCTGAACTAACGAACAGATGCCAATCCTATAAAATTTCATTTCTTTGGTTGCATTTATTCAGCTATTAAAGCAAGGATATTATGAGAATTTAGATTGCACCTTTTTTTCCCCTATCAGTGTGTATATATTTTTATGGCTCCCTAAAGGGTAATATTAAAATATATTTATTGGTCTAATCAAATATTTATTGTATGGAAGTTGAATTTTTTTAAAAAAATAATTATACACTAACCTGGAGTGACATGTAAGCATGTGTTCAAGTTCTTTGAGACATACATAGAGGCAAGAAGTAGAGTATATGGATGAACCCCCAAATGGTTATGCAGATTCAACATAAGGCTTGTGTGTATGTGTGTGTGTGTCTGTGTGTAGCTCAAGAATGATTTTTGTCCACCCTCTTTGTACATGGGCTTTGCAATGACATAAGACAACTGTTAACAAAGAACAATGTGAATTCTTATTGAGAAAAAAGTGTTTGGCACAACTGAAACCGGTCCACATCGAAACTGCCTAATGGCATGACTAATAAGATATAACATACTGTCTTTGAGTTCTTCAAACTGGAACTCCCTAACAATCAGGAAGCCAAATGATGGTATACAATCTGAAGCTAAAGGAACCCCAATTTCTTGGTGTGGCACTGAGTTGCTTACCCAAATGAGCCATGACATTTTAGGAAAAAGAGGAGCCACAACAGGTATGTGAGAGTGGGGAATTTCCCCTCTTGTGACAATAAAACCAGAAATATTATATAAAATTCTGCAGGCTAAGAAGGTTATCTTCACTAAGTAATTTTGGATATTGGTAACATGGTTACTTCAGCTATTTGCTGTTGCTATTTAGCAAAGAAATGCATTTGTACAAGAGAAAAAGTGCTTGTTTGCTTTTATATTGTACCTTAAATATAAGCAATTCACTAATGCTATAGAAAACTATTTAATACAAGACAATGAAATTGTCTTAGAATGTACATGAAGTCCTCTATGATTATCATAATTTAAGCTAATTATTTWAAAAAAATTAAAGC